CTGCGAGCTGTGCGGCTACAGCAGCGCGGTGAAGGCCAACACGCGCCGGCACGTCCGCGGGCACGTCGGAGACCGGCCGCACCGATGCGAAGCGTGCGGGATGGGCTTCTCCCGGAAGGACATCCTGGCCCGTCACATGGTGCGCCACGTGCGACTCTCCTGAGCCGGCTACGATGTAAGTCCTACCGGCATAGCATGGTACTTAGTACTTGTAGTACTTAGTCTCGTGCAGCGCTCATTTCAACCAGCCTTTTATTATTACTAGACTTTGAAAATCTATGCAAGTTAGTCGATGCACATTTGTAGATGAAGTAAGGTGGATGAAGTAATCCTAGAATTATATTTTTAGTGCGACATTTTTTTGTAAAGTCACCTGAGCAAGTGACGCGAATGGCTCTGGCCACTCCTTATCTCTAGACTTCTTTAAGGATTTCTAGACTTCTTTAAGGATAAGTCAAGGAACAGACCCTCACGGTTCTTTTAGCGTTAATTTATGCTGTCACCTCTCGGCTAGATGCGAAATGGTTCATTCCGAACCTGTAAGGTATCTTTTCATCGGGTTGTGACGTTTCACCTTCATCCTGGCTTTTCTTTCGTAGATGGCTGTTTCACAGTAATGGCTGTTTCACAGTAACCCTGATTTTTTTTGCAAGTCTCGAGTGCTTATTCTGTGCAAGAGCATCTCATTTCGGAGCAGAATTGATTTCGCCTTCAAGCACGTTGCAGTCTCAGAAGCTCGAAGAATGAACTCTCCAAATTATATTCCTTTTTGAATTTGTTTTGTCATTTTCTCTTTTTTTGTGATCTACCTAGAATGAATGGCTTTTCCCCTCATTTTCGTCTATATACATGTTTGATCTCATCTCAAATAAAAATTACTTGGTTGGATTTGCTTCTGCATTCATGATTAGACCTCAGGGTCTCCTTCAAGACCGAAGAAAGCACAGAAATTCATTCATCCTATCCAACTTGAACATAGACAGAAGTCCATTTCCATGCAGGAGTTTTTGTTCCCGAACATGGTCACCTTGCAAACCCTTATTATTTGTTAGCCAATCCATTACCATAATTACCAGTCGGTTAAAGACTGACTCTAGCATAAGTCCAGTGTGACCCACGCTCGGGTTTCCTCTCCAGACGGTCGCAGCCGACGCGGAGTTCACGTGGAGCGGGAAGACGCAGGGGAGCCCGCTCCTCCACTTCTGCCGACTGTGCGACTACCGCTCGACCCGGAGGACCGACCTGGCCAGGCACGTCCGGACCCACACGGGCGTGCGGCCGTACGACTGCGGGGAGTGCGGACGGCGGTTCACCCAGAAGGCGAATCTCACTCGCCATCTCGTGAGCCACATGCGTCGCTTCTGAGTTTTCCTGCATTTTCCTGAAATATATTCTCTCGAACAAAATCTGAGTCATTTGTTTCATTTTTTTAAAAGATTGAAACATGGAAACGAGTAATGAAATATATAATATTGTATGGTCTCCCACAAAGTGAATGGGTCGCAATTCGCATTCGAGACGATCTCGATCGGCTCCTCGCAGCTGCTTCGCCTTCTTCCTTCGGCCCTTGTCATGCGACATCCACCTGAAATTTGAATTGGAAGCTTAAGAGTCCTTTTATGCTTTCGCTCTGTCGTGATTCCCAATCCGGAATAAATGAGTTCTTAAATGCCTTTCAGCGTAAATGCTCGAATGGAAACTCGGATTCCAATTATTTTCGGGTTGTCGCTCCGAGCCTGTCATGAAGCCAATGCCGATGCCGATGGCGGTTGGCATTGATTTGAACACGAGTCTAGGCTGCAAGATGGAGGTATTACTCATGTATTTCCAGCTTCAAATATCCAATTGGTAAGGTTGGATGAAATTCCTCATCTGAGTGAATTTTCAGCTAATGCTACATTTCATATGGAAATCATTAAGATAACGACAAGTTTATCATTAAAAATCAGATAATCCCTTTACCGACCTGTTGGAAACCATTGGCTAACCAATTTTTTGCCAATTGGCTCCCCTCTAATCCCTCGTCCCCTGTTGCATTTCTCCAGACAGTCGCAGCCGACATGGAGTTCGGATGGAGCGGCAAGACGTGGGGGAACATCCGCCTGCACTTCTGCCGACTGTGCGACTACCGCTCGCCGAAGAAGGCCGACGTCGCGCGGCACGTCCGCACCCACACGGGCGCGAGGCCCTACACCTGCGAGGACTGCCGCAAGAGCTTCTGCCAGAAGGCGCACCTCACCCGCCACCGCATCAGCCATCTGAATCTGCTGTGAATCCGCGGTGTTGCCACGTGACATTCGGTGTGGCCACGTGACATTCGGTGTGGCCGCGTGACATTCGGTGTGGCCGCGTGACATTCGGTGTG